GCTGACTTAAAAATGTCCAGCCCCTCCAGCAGCTCCCTAACTAGATCCTCACTTACCCTGGGCTCAGGTGTGCCTCCCTCGGGGCCTGATGGGGGCCTAGCAGGGAGGTGGCAGTTCTGGTCCTTACTGAGGAAAACAGAGGCAAAGAAATCATTAACTATGTTGGCTTTGTCGTCTGGTGTGACAACCAGATTCCCCGTCGCGTCCTGCAAGGGCCCCACATTACCCGGAGCCTTCTTTTTACTCCCTATGTATTTAAAAAAGGACTTCTTGTTGTCCTTAATCCAGGAAGCTAGTCCCAGTTCCATCTCTGCCTTGGCCTTCCTAACTACCCCTCTACACCCCCGAGCAACTGCTGAATAGTCCTCCTTGGTGATGACCCCTCCTTTCCATTGGGAGTAAGCCTCCTTTTTAGCAAGGAGACATTCCCGGATGTTTTTGGTGAGCCATGGAGGCTTGTATGCTCTCCTGCCCCCTTTCATCCTCGTCGGGATTACCTTCTTTTGGGCTTGGAGGATCGTCTCCTTAAGGAGCGACCACTCTCCTTGAACACCCGGCTCTCCTCCCCTCTGAGACTTCAGCGCTTCTCCAACTATCCTCCTTAGCTCGTTGAAGTTGGCCCTCCTAAAATCTAGGGCCACAGCCTGACTGCTTGCCTTTGCCACCTATTAATGTTTCCTTTTAAACAAAGGATAATTAACCCTATAATTACTTAAAATAAATACTACATTTCAAACTTTTATTTTAAAATTAAACCTAAGCAATGCTAACAAGGAGTCGGTAGTGAGGATGAAAGAAATTCTCTAAGATTGGATTCTGGGCCTTCACAGGAAGCCCTGGGCTGTCATCTTTCAAATAAATTTTTTGTCTTAGGGAGTGGTCTCAAGCCCACTAACTTCAGTGGACTGGCAGTCAAACGTTAAGATTGAGCACTGTGCAGAGATGAAGTGTTTGAGGAACAGGACAGTATATGCTGTCCATGTACTTACAGCTAGTATTGATAGCAGAGTGATGCCCTTTGAATAGCACCGTTGTGCTTGCAGCGCAACTCATCGTTGATGAATCATGAAGATTTTTTTTCTGATAGAAAAATTACTCACTTCTTCTCTCCAGGCACTGGCAATACTGTAATCGAGGCTGTAAAAGTTCTCATAGAACACGGTGTTCAACCAAGTGTCATAATCCTGCTAAGCCTATTCTCCACACCCCACGGTAAGTTAAAGGAATCTGGTTCATTCATAATGGAGAACTTTCCACAGTACTTCAAGTTAGGAGATCTCAGTTGCATTGCATAAATGTCCACTTGATAGATGAACAGGGAGAAAAGGCAACTTAGAAGAAATGGGTAACATTTTAGGTACAGAAATGAGCAAAAGGTGTTATATACTGCTGCATACGAGATTGCGGTTCAGTTGGTGGTTATGTTTCATCTTCCATGGGACATGCCTCACCAAGTTGATAACTGTCATAGCACAGATTGACACAAAAGGATTCTGGTCTCATCTTACTTGGCTGGTGGTGAGTTTTGAGGCCTTGAGAATAAATTCTGGTTTCTCTTTGAAGGGGAGTGGGATGATAGGGAAGTTATAATGTTCTGTGAGGACCACCCAAAAATTCAGGGAAATGTAGCAGGCCTACTGTCACATGCAGTAGAACTGCAAAGGTAAATTATACTTGGAACTAGGCATCACATGGCACAGAAAGCATCCATGTGCTACAGAGCAATGCAAATCTTCTGTACATGGAGAGGAGCAAAAAGTATCCATTCACCAAACGTCAACAATCAGAATGATACAAATGGTACAAATCTGCTTACAAAACTATGACTGGCAGCAGCACAGCCATCTACTTCCGAAAGTTGATTTTATAATCATTTTTTAGAAGTGAAACTTGCTCTCCACTTTCCAGAAGTGGTGATCTTTTGTGGCTTTCTGTATTTAAGACTGGCACAACTCTCATATGAGCTCAGTGAAATGCTGGTTTAACTCTCAGTAGTCTCTACCCACTTTGCTCAGTAGGACCATACACAATTGTTAAAGCTTTTCTGCAGAGGAAGCAAACCCCTCTTCATCTACTTTTAAAGTTCTCCATGTATAGGGCTGAAATACTGTTGGAGTGTAAATTAATCTCTCTCTTCTTCCTCAAAAGGTGCCAAATCCATCATCCAGGAGTTTCCCGAGATCACAATTTTAACGACAGAAGTTCATCCTGTTGCACCAACACATTTTGGACAAAAGTATTTTGGAACGGACTGAGACTAAGCACAGACTGCCTGTGTTACTGTACATTATTATATTTTTTTTCTACATTTTATTATTTGTGGCTGGGTTGGCCAAGAGTATATTTACAGAATCTTTTTGGCCAAAGGGGAACTATTTGATCTACATTCATTTGATCTGGCTACTTCTTGAACATTGAATCAGGTGCAATAATGAAGCACATTCAGTTACTGCAAACAAAAGGCATTTCAATGTTGTGCTTGTATAAACTGCTGCACTCTCAGTGCTTTAACTTATTTATTCTTCCACAGCCCTGTTCTATGGCTGCTTGCAAGAGCAAAATAAAAGAAAATAACTAAACTACCATGGCGTATGTTTAATTTTACACTGGTGGCGTTTGCATTGTTCCAGCTTAGTCATTACAGCCCCTTTCAAATGATACTGAAAAGACAAATGCACTTTGAACTCTGCATCACCATTAGCAGCCACGGTAGGTTTCTGGCACAATTTGTAGGCCTTGGATGGTGGCCACAGCTGTGGATTCCACTTTTCGAATTGTATTCTGTATGGATTATTTCCAACTAGTAAAACATTTGTAGACGCCTTGTTAAGCTCTGTGGTGCTGAAAAAATAAAAGGAGCCTTCAGCCATTCTCATAACGCTCTCCCAGCTGTACTGGAAATGTCCATAGAGATATGGTTGAAAATGGGAGGATGGAAATGCTGAAGCCAGTAAAAACTCTATACATCTACACAATACTTAACAGTCGTGCCCTGTTAAAACTCTGGCACATCAAGCAGTATTATTGAAGCCATTTTAAAGAGGAGGGAAACTGGCAGAAGAGATAAGCAGTTTCTGGTTTTTAGCACTGTCCAACAGGGTTTACTTTCCTTGCTATTCAGACTTTTATGACTAGTAATGGGATCCAAGTACTTACGAAATAAGTATTTATAGTATTAAGTCCCCTGGCCATATGTACCTGTTGTCTAAAATATTTTAAACACAGGATGTTGTCTCACTACAAGTTTTTGGAAGACATAATGGGAACACAAAGCTGAAAAGGGAATTTTTTAAAGTATGAGATGGTTGCATTGTCTGCTTGTAAAACTCATTTGTCACTTTAGTATCCTCCTTAGAATCATTAACAATATTCTTAACACTGAAAACAAAGCACTTTTGGTGCTCTCTTGATCATAGATTGTGTTCCACATCTTTGGGCAACAAGTTGGAACGCAAAGCCTTTTCTGACAAGCTTGAAACTGGGGTAGGTAACACATCAGCAAGGTAGGAATTCAGGTCACTTCTGTGGCTTATACAAATAAATTCATAACCCCTTCTGCACAAGACTTTATGGACACACTTCCCTGTCCTCAGACAACCATTTGCTAAAGCTCTTTCAGGCCCGCAACAGTACAACCTCTTCCCTATCAAGTGTTGAGGCTAACTTAAGAGCAATCATCAGCCACCAGCATAATAAAAATTAGCCAAAACCAGTTTTAATGTAGTTCTCTCCTGCAGTACAGTATAAACCATGCAGGTTCTTCAGTAAAAAAAGACAAAGCATAAATACAGTATTCAAATCATATAAACTCCTTGAAAGTACTACTGAAAGGTATGCACAGGATTTATACATCAAATAAAGAGAAAAATATTTGTCCAGCAATAAAAATGAGCATTTTGTAGACAAAAGATTTTGTAGAAATCCATTTGACATTAAAAGCCAATGCCAGCAACATTAATAAACTCTGTTACCTGCATTAAACATCCTAAATGCTCTGACTCTTCAGTTCGTTTGAAAATGTTTAGAACTTAAGGTGTGAGAGTGAGCATAAAACACCATGCAGGATACAGTTTGCTGAACACTGTAGATATCTTGGAGATTCAAATGAAAATACCCTTGCAAATACTAGCATAGGGTCATACTTTAAAAAAAAAAAAAAAAAAAAAAAAGAAAAACTGATGGGGCTATTGGTACAACTCATTTAAACTAATTAAGAGTTCTGTATAAAAGTCACCGCCCAATACCGACTATGCCAGTCTACTGTATGAAGGGAAAGGTATCTGCACTGGTTGTTAATCTCTAAGGGACAAGCTAAAATAGTCTGACCTGGTCTTTGGAAAATACCATTTTTTCCACCCACCAATGAAACTTTTACCAAATCGATTACAAATATTTCTGTAACTCTTCCTACCAAACTCAACACAAAGGAGCAGCCTGGAGTAAAATGAATCAAGCTGACTTTGAAGCAGAATGAAATATTAAATGGAAAAATTAATGAAGAATGAAGTGTGACTGAAGGCTTGTTTAAATCTCAGGATTAGCAATAAACACAGACTTTTAAAGGTTTTATTTATGAAGGGCCCTTTTTAAATCACTTACAGATGTGAACAGGCATTGCCCATGACTGAATGATCTATGCATTAAGTCTCAAAGGAAAGATGTATTAAATTTACAAGCGAACAGGTTCTTTCCTCCTCTGTGTCAATGGCAGAAGGGAAGTTATGGTAGAAACTCCCTGCTTAAAAGACAGCAACTCAGAGTTAGTCAGGAAGAGCTTGTGTATACAAGCCTTAGGTATAAGAAAAATCTGAAGTGCAGACATGCTAATTCCAGAAGTGTCCATTTATGCAGTTACTTTGGCAGAGACGCTGTGCTCTAAAATTCACAGGTAACTTATTCTGGAATAACATTAATGTATGACCAAGCGCTTATTCATTAAAGTTTGTCTCTTCCTCAAGGGTAAGAAACGTTGTCTGCATCAACTAAGGTGGTTTTTAATAGCAATAACGTGAGTCTGCATAATTGATACACACTCCAAACATGTGAATAGCACTGGGGCTTGCAAAACATCAATGCCAAGGAAGAAAGGGCAATGTACTAATAGATCCACCTTCTGCAAGATCCACTGGTCTCTGCATTTTGGAAAGCATGAAGCAGGCTGTCTATTCAGGTTTGGTTTGGGCTGTGGCTCCAAATAAACACCAAGTCCCACAAGTTTTTCTATTAAGCAAAAGGTGAGCGCCAAGAATTCTTGTAGGTAATAGCTTTTTTAGACCAACTGCCTGGATAGACTAGACAAAGGCAAGCTTTTGGGTATCATAGTACCCTTCCTGAGGCTTGAGAAAAACTTGCCTGGGTCTATCCTGACCATGCAGTTGGTCCAATAGAAAATATTACCCACAAGAATTCTTGCCTCTTGCATTCTTCCCAGGACATCCCAGCAACACCACCTCATCTATTTAGTAAAGTCACTTGTGCATTACATGGGCCAATTGATACTAATATCCAGTGCAAGAAAGCATTTTGTGAAGCACAACTCAATATAGGAGAAAACATGATCCCTTTCTCCTTCAAGGAACTGCAACACAACCCCATCCGCTCCTTGAAGTGCTGCTCTAAACCTTAATCCTGATACAGAGCAACCACATTTTTGTAGGTATACAGATTTTGTAGTCTTTTGATCTGAAATGTAAGCAAAGTCTGATTTCACTGTATTTGATTTCACCAGCTTTGCATCCGAATCAAAGCCAAAGCTCCTCTCTTTTGTTTTATTTTTTAAAAGCTCTGAGATTTAAAAGACATTTAGAAAATTGGATTTTTCTGCCCTGGACAGGAAGCTGAATCTGAATGACAGGGACTATATACTGACAAATAACTGATTGAGCTTACTTAAAACAGACTGCACAGTGCAAGAGTCCAGTCTAAATCCACTCACCTTTTTTGTACCTAAAGGAAAAATTGCAACTAGTTGAAACATGATCAATTCTAAGTTACTTGCTGAGAATCAGAAGGTACAGCCCCAAAGCAGAAAAAAAAAAACCATGATGGAAACAATGAAAATGCGCAAATGAATGATAGCTACAATCTTGGTGGATTGTTAATTACCAAAAAATGAAACAAAGGGATGACTAGAAGGGGAAAGTGATTAGGAAAAGGGCACATGGAATGCCACCTCCCTGAAGTAGTTGCCACCCTCCCAGCTGCTGACAGGCCATTAGTTTTAATGAAAAAAGCAACTCTGCTGTGCAAATGCTCTAATTGATGGTTTCAAAACAAGAGTTTATTTTCGTAAATATTCTGCAGCAGAACACCTGCCCACAGAACCAGAAAATACTGAACAAAGCGAGACGTGTTCAAGTACTGGAGAGCAATTTCAAATCGTTTCACCACAGACATCATTGAAAAGAAAACACAGAACCTGCATAACAGTTGTCGACTCAGGCTTAGTAAGTGTGGTCAGCGGTGCTTTCTTAACCTGCCAACTGCTCGCTCTCAACTTCTCTGTGAACGAACCACTCATTACAAATGGCAGGTGCATTGTGCTGGCGGAACAGCTTTCCTGAAGCCAGTTGCTCCCTGACAACATCTTTAGTATCTTAACCTCTCTCTTCTATGGGTAGGTACAAAAGAAGTCTCTCCTAACACATTACATTCATACCGGGTGACAGACTTTATGCATCTAGTCCTGTCATTGGTCCAAAATTGTGCTTTCAGCCTGTGCCAGAGTATAACACCCTCGCCCCCCCCCCAAAAATTAGAACATATCAGTTTGCTGATTCATAACTCTATGCATTTCTGGTAAATAAACAGTCATCTCCCCCATCATGCTAATAGAAAGCTTCCCGGTTCTTACTGATTACAACACATACATGCAACAAGTACGGCCTATTAAAAATGTACAGTACTCCCTTCCTGTTCAAAGGAACAACCTATTCTACTCCAAAATCATCAGTCACGTATCGAATCAGCTATAGAGACTAAACTTACAAATGATTTGCAGTGTGGCGATGCTTACAAAAGCCCCGGTTTTTCATTCACTGGCAAAGGTAGGACTTGTCACAATGCCACCTATGCAGACATCAATGTGATGTCTTATCTGCTTCTTAGCAGAGTACATGAAATGCAAACTAGGGACAACTGCCAGTAGAGGACTGGTCTGGACCATTAGTCAAAGGAGATGGGCAATTTGATGGAATGGTTGACATCACAGTAAAATCTACCCACAGCATTTTTTTTCCCCCCCACAGGAACATTTTCCTGGGAAAGTCCTGGCCCTCTTTTAGGAGGGGTAGAAGACCTGCTACCCCACAAGCAGTGCATCAGCCCCACCTGCAGCGGATGGCGGAAGAGAAAGTGCTCTCCATGGAAGATGAATTCCCATGTTTTGACACCTTGATTTAAGTTAACAAGAAATGTTGAACTTTACAACATTTCCAAAGAGATTTCACATGAGCTGTTGATATTCAGATCACCTACCTGAAAATAGTTCAGGTTGGCTGTGACTAAAAATTAAGCCTGGGTGGCTGTTTAGCGGATTACATGACTAGAACAGAGCAGTCTTAGCTTGTTTCCTGCATTCACAACACAAAAGCCACCATAAATGGCACTAACTAGCAATTAGGTTGGCAGTCTGAGACAAGAGACCAGGGCTTGGATGTGGACTATCATGCCTTCAGAGTGGGGGCAGAAGCTTGCAGTGCTGCCTCAGACTATGTGCTTGACGAATGGATAAACTGTACGGGTTCCTGAGCTTCGCTCTGCAGCCTTTAAAGATTATTAAAACTATGCGATTTGAAGAAAGGTGAGAAGGACTAGATTCCAGACAACCACTAAACCCAATTCCTCTTTTCCATGCAAGACTCAGTTTACAGATGCTTATATCTTTAGACATCAAGCTGTTGGCCCCTTACAAAATGTGATGCAGCATTGAAAATATGCCCAGCCTATGAAATGCCCAGTGAAAGAGAAATGTTGCATCATCCCTTTACATTTAAGGGCCACCACACTACATGGAAAAGTCAATCCCAGATGAATATTTATATACTTTTGCTACCTAGAACACAGGTTAGAGTACCATTCTCTCTGCTCTTCCAGTGTATTTACCTAATGATTTTCAGAGCACCCTGGGCAGAGTGCATTTCCTGGGATGAAATGTGTGACTTTCCTACAATAACAGTGAAGAGAAAAAACACTGTAAGAACTAAATAGGAAACCAACTGTAAAACTACAAGCATCAGGTGTGGAGTCCAACCTAGCAAATAATTTTATCCAGACTGGATTTCCAGTTGACAATCCTTTCCAAAGGTAAAAAAATGCAAGGACTAAGTTACATTCTGCTTAATACAACATCTTCAACTTAAAGCTACCTCAACTCATTGCAATACTGCCACAAAGCAAACAATTCTCCACAGAGGTATTTTGAGATGTCAGGTTTCCCCAAAGAACCAGGCTGTTCATCTGTGTGCAGAATGTCTCCAGGGAGGGAAACACAGGCACTGCATTTTTTAACAAAATTATGTTCAAGTTTCTGTATTCGGTTCCTATCCTGGGCTGTAGAGTATTCACTTGACTCCAGTCTGTTGCATGGGGTGCACCACACACAGGTCAATCTGCAGGCAATGGAAAAGGATTTCATCTCAAGGCAAAGCAAAGAGATTGAAAACTTACTTATGTTGTTATTTAGATACCTCTGTTTTGCACTGCAGTTCTGTCTTGCTTCACGCTGATTGAAACTTTAACGTTTATTTTATTCTCTCTGCATTTAGTTTTGAATCTTTTTTTAAAGCAGCCTGACACTGTCAGCTACTGGAATAAGTACATTCCAAACTTCCAAAAAGCTATTCATTTCTACTTGGCTGGGAGCTGGTTGTAGCCAGGTAAGGTAGCCTTAAAAAGGCCAATCAGCAGCCTTATCTGGTTCCCAAATATTTCATTTAATTGGAACATGTAAATGATGGTAGGAAATCTCAACGCTGCCTTTAAAAATACCTGAAAATATTTCACACTCTCCTCTGTTAGGAACTGGATGGCTGCATAATCCCTGGAGACCTGCCATTTTAATAACCACAACAGGGAACACAGCTTGATGCCAGCTACCAGGAGAAGAAGGTCAGAGCTACAGCCAAGGAGTACACTGCAGAGGCTTTTACAGCTCCTGGTAGGTGCTCTTCTGCTACCGTTTTACAGCCAGCTTTGGCAAGAAATGAAAGAATTACATGGCTGTAAACAGAAACAACATAGAAAGATGCAAGAACCTACCTAGAAACCTCCCACAGCTCCGTGTGGCTCTAGTTCCAGCTCTGATCTTTCTGTTCTGACAGATGCATTCAAGCTGATAGACAAGGAAGGAAGCAGCTGCATTACCTTCATGTTTTTATATACTAGATTTTACAGGAGGAAGGTTTTCCAAGGCATAAATGACCGACCCTGAAGGACATTTTGTTTCCAGCCCTGCCTTAGAAAATCCCCCTTAAATTCCCCCCCCCGCTTTTTTTTTTTTTTGCACACAAGAGATCAGGTAATTTCCTTACTTCCTCTGACATCTTTCCTTATACTTGGCAGAAGATCACCTAATGAAAGGAGCAAGCCTTAGGAAACTGACTAATGTAAAAAAAAAAAAAAAGTAGACTTAGTTATTCTAAGAAAAAAAAAAAGATAGTAACCAAGACTTGATAACAGAACAGCCACAAAAGAAGTGTGGAGCTCTCATCAGTAAGAGCTTACAAAGAAAAAATAGTTAACATTCTTTAAACAAGAATGAAGAGAAGAATGAAGATTTTACTTCTTCAAATTTGGATGCATTAGACAATCCCTCCTACTCTAGTCTCTAAGCTGTTTGCAGCAGTGTATTCTGCAAAAGGCCAGAGTTTCAGGGCCAACTCCAGCAGCCGAGTACAAAAATTAAAGACCAGAGTAACACACTCTTATTAAAGGTGATGATTTGTATCAAGTAGGTAACTCCTCCTGTTAGGGATGGCAGTTTTGAGTAGGAACATTATCTGCACCAGGTACTTTTCTTTAAGATTTCCTACTGTACAGCAATGTCCGCTGGTAGAAGCAACAGAGAAATCTTAGTGGGAAAAGTCTATGGAGTAACCAAGTCCTTTGTCATGGAACAGATACATGTTTATCTCCTGACAGCCACAGCTGGAATTTAAGCACTGTTAGCAAGAAAGAAATACCTAAATACTAAAGGAAAAGAAAAACTATATATAAAATGGTCTATAAGAAGTGTAATGACAGATCCTAAGGTCTAGTATTTCCCATACATCAGCATTATGCAAAAACATTTAGTTCTAGCCTGCCTGGTGAAGTTACTAAGCCAGGACCCTTTAGTTGACTAGAGAAAACTCAGCCCATAAGGTGCACACAAACCAGAAAGGCCACTTTCCAGCCTACTACCTGCTACCAAATTCTATATTTTGCTTTGATTGCAAAAAGCAGGTATAACACTGTGCAGCAAAGCAGACAGAAGCTAACCACAATTTACACTGAAAAATCTTCCACATGCCAGTCAATACATTTAATCAGCCAGAAGACTGTGCTATTAACATATTGGCTGCTGTATCTTCAGCAATACACCACCAGATCCTCCTTTACTAGGCTAGTCTTTGAGCATAGCAGCTGGAGCTAAACAGTCAATGCAAACTTCCAATTTACCTGCCTGTAGATTAATGTTTATGGAACTGAAAAAAAGATTAAAAACCATTAGCAAATGCTGATCCCGGCAAGAGAGTTGTGCAAGCTAACTCCCACACACCAGGCCTAGAAAGTAATGCAAAATCACTACATTGCATAAAATTCCCCTTAAAATATTAGGTCCTTGCTCCAAGGATTGTGCTTTAAGGCCATTAAACCTGGAGAACTTTGTCCAGGTCAAGCATTTCTAAACAAAAGCATCAAGAGTCTTGGCATAGTCTGTAAACATGATTCTGACAACATGAGCAGGTATTCTATGTACCAGTATCACCATGTAGGTATATGCCTGTTATTAAATATATACATCGCATGCATGTGCGCACTATGATTTTAATACCTGATTTAGCAAACCTGCCTTGCATTGAGTCAAATCTACTTCACTGGCCTATTGGCTTACTCACCTAGGTAAATACTACTCGCTGCAGGTAAAGTTGAAGAATCAGGCTCAAGTAACCAGCTCTCCAAGAAATATTCGGGTTTTGAGTCCTACAGTGCCTGATGTTTGTGGCAATGCATTGACACGTACACTTCTCACTACTCTAGTTAAAAAAATATATATATATAAAATCAGAGGCTGGCCAAGGGAAGCCTGGCCTGAAGCACTCTCTGTACAACTGCCCGCTCAGTCAATAACTTATAAAACAAACTCATAAAGCCTTGACACATCTGCACGGCAGGTATGGGACAATCATTCTAGAATGTGAGGATTCAATCCAGTAATACTTCATGATGATTTTTTTATCCTGAAGATCCATATGCTTTCTGATATTCAGTGCTGAAGTCCATGCAAAGAGGAGACAGGAGCTCCTGAGAAGGAAGCTGAAATTTAAAGACAAAATAATCTGTAACTCTAAGCAATTTTCTGTCAGAGCAATTCTACTTTATTCTTTACATTAGGTTGAACACTATTTTACTTCATGCACATGGAGAGGAAAACCACTGCTTTTCTCACTAGCTCATTCCAAAAAGCCAGATTGGAAGTAAGATGATAAAGAGCTCTCCTTAATATAGGCCTTAATATGGACCATGCATCTCCTGCCCACACCACCTGCTGCTGTTGCACCCAGGTATGCAGGTGAAAGAAAGCCAGTTGAGAGAGTGATTACTGCCCAGAGTATCCCAAATTACTCTTAGTCCTAACAGCATGGAAAAATATGCACATGCCATGGCTCTTTCCAGCTTCTCCTGCTGTTCAGCCCCTTCTCAGATTCACAAAACAGATCTTTGTTCTTTCAGAAAGCTGGGAAGAGATGTGGGTATGTGACAGAAACATGTTGCATGCCATGTTCCACCAGGCAACTGACAAGCCTTGGATCCTTTCCCAAAGCTGCATGCCTTTAAGCTCTCTTTGGTACTGTGTAACCCAATGGAAACATCAGCCCTATATGACTGGGTAATCTGAACATCTGCAGTTACTTTGGTTACATGGTTTTCAGATCTCTGAAAAACCGAGGGAGAATGTTGTACTTTTCAACCTGTGCACCAAGCTCAAAGTTCACCACCATCTAGTGCTTCCTTGGAAAATTATTTAGGAAAGTAAGAACCCCCCTGCAAAATCCCAAACCACAAATCCCCATCCTCCACTGTCCTGCCCCCAACTTCTTCTGTTTAAGGTTCCAGAGAGACACTCTTAGCATCCTTACAAGGCATTATCACCCTATCTCACAAAAAAGGAGCTGGCTGGCCACTTCATAGAAAGAGTATATCCAACTTAGTTCAGGATCGATCCCTTCTTCCCCCCACTTTGAGTAACCTCATAATAAAATACTGACCTGTCCAAGCAAGCTTTGTGCCACTGCCTTTGCAAACTGCTAGGTCTCCATTTCTATGGCAAGAGATGAAGCTTCGTTGGATCCTACAGAACACAAAACAAAATGGTTAGAGATGAATAGTACTGCTGTTTTCTGATTGTAGAGAGAACAGCTTCTGCTGAGGGCTAGTGTGTTTTCAAGCATTGGTTCAAAGAGAAACTGGACATTCGTCCTCATCAGGGTGACCCAGGTGAGACCCAAGCAGAGAGTTTTATTTATCAGTGCTTGCTGATGTACTCTCCACACCACAAGCTTTAAGAGCCATGATGACAACTAAAGTTCTTCCAGTTTTAATGGAATGTTTCAGGTCTGACTTCCTGCGACTGCACTAAACATAATCCAAACGCTCAGTTATTACAGCACTTAGGCGTTGGCGCATTGATAGAAAGGAAAGGGATGGTTAGAAAATGAGACTGCAAAACAGTATCAGCTGCATTTGAAGTGCATCCTCCCTCCTGTCAAATCAAGATGAGTTGGCTGAGGCAGCAAGCTTAATGCAGGAGGCGATCATGTGCACGATGCTCACAGAATATATTTTCTTGATATAGTGGGAATAAAAGTTCATTAAAATAAGCATCATAGCCCCATAACATTTTATTCCTGGAGCATTTTTATTTGCAAAACAAAATCTGCATGAGGACAAGAAAACACAAAAAGGCAATGTACATCTCATTGGAAATGTGAGGCAAGACAGCAGAATTTGAGATCAGCCACAAGCCCAAAGAAAAAGGAGGCAGAAATTGCCATACCAGAGCAGGAGAACAGCCCCTCCAATCAGTCTGGAGGAATAGCAATAAATAAAATCCACAGCATCTTGTTAACTGTGTGATAGTACTGAAAATACAGTATCACCTTCCTGTATAATTTGATAGAAGTATTAATTATAGAGCCTTATATTTGGGAATCTAGAAGTATGCTAACAAAATCAATCTTCACAGCCAGGCTCAGAGACAGAAAAGAACCTAAAATCCCCATTTTACAGACAGGAAAAGAGAAGCACATGGGGCAAAAGGACTTGCCCAACGTCACAAAATGAAGCTGCGATAGATCCACAACACAAATCCAGCTCCTGTTCCCACATGTTCACCTTCAGAATTGCCCTCAGATTCTCTGAGTCTTTAGGATGCTAACATGTTGCTGTCTTTTGGATTGTACTTAAGTCATGCAGCTTTCAATTCTGTGCTGCTTCTGCAGTACCTGGCAGTTAAGTGACAGAAAAGCACAATGCAAACTGTTAAAAATTAAATATTCAGTCTTCTGAGTTTTCCAGGTGAATATTTCCTACAAGGAGCTCTTTTTAAACATTATGTACTATATCAGAGCTTAAAAAGCAATTGTCCACAAGTCAAAGAGGGATGTTGGTATGTGAAACTGGCAAGATCACAACCGAGACACTAAGATTCAAGATGCATTTTTTTGAAAATCTGATGACCTTATAAAGTGTCAGCACATGTTATTTTGGGGGATACTTTCTAGCCAAACAGATCAGACAGATGTTTGTGAATAAAAGACCAACATTAATGAAAACAGGAAAGTTTCAAAACATGAAGTAAAAGGTGTTTGGAAGCAGGTGTTCTTGGCTTCTCGCTGATCACACAGCTCACAAAACTGTTACCATAATATCTGACTTTGAAAATGAAATACTATTATCCTGCACTACAATCCTAAGCAAGTCTCTGTACAAAAAAACAGAGCAAAAGGTGAACACCCAGTTCAATGGAGAGGGACAGCCATGCAGGGAAGACAAAAGCAACTGGGAAGATTTACTTCCACACCCTCTTTAGTGCCAGGTTGCACTGTTTCCCCTCCTAGTTTTCAGTAATGCTTTGTGTTTTATTCACAAATCCACCAATTCCTCTTAACATCGATTGAAAATAACATCCGCAGGTGGGCTGTTTGCAGCACTCACTCGTGGCCTTACTCAGTTCTGTTTATGCACAGAAAAAAGTTTGTGTCAGGGAAAAATCAAATGCAGCAAAGGCAAAGGATTAGGATGCTGTGGTTAGAAAGGAGAATGTTATACAGCAACACTCGATCAAGCTCTTTGTTTTTAAATTAGCTCTGTGGCACGTCTCTTCCCTTCTGCATATGCCTGGAGGAGGGACTCTCATGAGGAGAAGAGCTCTCATTATTTCTGTCATGAGGCACAGGTGCAGGAGCAAGCACAGGTGTGTGCTGGAAAGGCGCCAAGAGGAGAGGCACCTCACTTAAATACATCAGAGGGACATTATTCCCACTCTCGATGTGACTGACGCTCTAATGGTTCCAGCTTTGGCAGTGGTGGATTAGCATCCTCAGCAATGAGGGGAAGAGCAAGAACAAAGCCTCGCTATGTCGTCTCATCTTTTCCCCCACAAACATGCTTTGGAGTGTCAGAAGTGACAAACACACAGATGTCTGTTATCCAGACGGAGGTGGGCAGCTTCTCCAGGGCCTGTAGAAGTACCACCTCTCCAAGGCTGGACGTATGCCAGGGCTGAAGGCTGCACAGTTACATTTGGGATAAATTCATTATGGGATAAATCCTGAAGGAACAGTGGAACTGGTGCTTGAATTGCATGGAGGGTGGCTTTGGGCATCCTTGCCTGCCACTGAGTTTTCACTGGATCAGAGAGCTTGGAAGGGGACTGGGATGCATAGATACAGACTGATCCACTCACATTTACATAAACTGGAGCCAGTCTCCCTGGTACAGCGGTGGTCCCAGCAAGAAGATTACACTTTATGTTCTTTGCTGAGCTAACAAGTCTCATCAAAGTCATTTTGATATGCACTCTTAAGTCTCGAAAGTACAGGCTCCAGACCACGCTGGTTTTGGCCAAATCAGATATCAATCTCATTACAATCTGGTGTTCATGTTTAAATACTAAAGGAGACTGTTGAGAGACCATAACACTTTAGAAAAGTTACAGGCTTGTGAATCACTCCTACAGGGATTGATTTTTTTTTAAGTGTCATAAACAGCACACAGAAGGACACTGTTTTGTTACTTTATTTTTAAAAGCTCGTTTGTGTTAGCCCGGCAAACAGATTATCTGCTCTGCAACATACACGACTCAGCAGGAGGAGCAGATGTTCTTTCAAGTCTCAAACAGGCTGCTTCAAGTTACTTATTCGAACCAATGATGAAATGAGCCTCTTCAACCCTATTCATGAGATGCTGGAGAGTAGGTTTTCCAGCAGTGCCAGGGTTTGAAGTGTGCCTTGGAAAAGGCTCCATTTGTTTATTTTACAATGAAATCTCCTCAACAGATATCAATATCTCTAATACAATCAAACATCATTACTAAGTGAGGGGACAGCTGACCATAAGGGATCACACTGCCAAAGAAAAAGCCCATTTCACTTTTACAAAGGGTCAAATAACGTTTTTAAACAAAGCCGCAGCCTTCACACATCTCCAAACACGCGCCATCTGCAGTGACTAATGGGTACTTCTGGAAAGTGAACTCAAGTACTCAGTTTTGTCAGCTGCTTCAAAGCTTACAACACGGTTGCAAAAAGGATCTCCTCATGTGAGCTTTGTCTCTAAAGCAGTAAACCAGACGTGATATTCTTTTAAGGGTAACGCACCGCTGCTGCTATGGAGGAACTGCCCTACCACACCTGTGTGGGGCTGGACCAGGAAGCAGCTATGGCAGGAGGGAGCACCTTGCTAAAGGCTGCTCTGAGAAGAGGGGCTGCCATGAGGCTGTTGCCGCTTCCACTGGCCACCTGAGAATGCAGACAGCAATGCCAGCCCTATGGACAGGACACAGGGAATGCCACCTACTTGGGCTTTCTCCACCTTGGGCATCCTCGCCTGCCATTGAGGATCTGTCATCCCCACATCCGCATTTCTCTCTTGCATGGGGAAAAAGAGGGGCTCCCACTGCCTGTATTTCCAAAGGGTGCCACTAAGTACAGAAAAGTTATGATGTCTAGAAAGGCTGACAGCCACTGCTTTAGAGGAAAAGGAAAAAAATGCCCATTGTCTTTAATAGCAATCTGATAAGCTTCTATGGCATAATGGAATATAGGTACTTTTATTTTAATTCTGTCTACATATATGGTTGTGGCTACCTTGCCCTATGGAAATGTACTAGCCCAAGGACAACTAAGCACCATGATTTTGGAAACTTAAAATGTGGTTCACTTGAAACTTTGCAGAACACACATATGGTTTGATGCTTTTGATACTGCCCAGACTGGTTTCAAAGTGGGACCTTATATTTGGCCTATGTTCGTTACCTAAGACTGGACTGCCTGTGATAAAGCCAACATGCCTTTCCATATGCCACATTCTAAGATGGTTGCACAGAGCAATTATTTTAGAATTCACCCAACCAGTTATTCTAATCCAATTGCACAATTAATTTCTGTACCCCCTTACCCTGGCTCTCTTCATCCAATCCATCATCATCCCATTGCTCTTCATTTGCTAGTAGTGGATTTCGAGCTTCACACAAAGTTCTCATTGGAAAGGAATGTCCATCACCCTGGCTGTAAAATACAAAGGTAGAAAATGAGCTACTGCAGAACCACTTCTTTTGAAAAATGAAGTACAACTCTACTATGCATTTATGATTTTGCTCACAAAAACAAAGAAAATTCTTACATTTCTGGAAACGAATTTTAAAGGATGAATTATATTAAGAAACCAATGGGTTCATTTTGGGTGGAAGCTCATAGGCAATGTTTAAGGAACAAAGAGAGTTGTAATCCTGAATTCATGCAAAAGCTAAGAAGGAAAATCTTTACAGTTCAAAATCATTCCTGATGTAACTCAGATGGAATTGAAACTGGCCAGATTACCCAGACAAATAATGAAGTATGGGAAAAAAGATATGCAAAAATATTCAGCTGTAAAATGAATTACTGCCCCCTACTTCACTCTAGCCAGGTGCAGACAACAATTTTAGGAAAGGTGGGAAGAGTCTGGATGAACTGGACACAGGAAATCAGATTAGCAAACAGGTCCCCACCCTTTAATTGCAAAGTTACGAGTATTTTCCAATGACAGTCACAATAAAGACAAAGTCTATGCTATGTCAAGGCATGACATATGGAGGAAGCCTAAGGGAATAACAGTGATGCAATGGAAATGAATTATAAATGCTTGAGTTTGGGCTACACTTGACTGGACTTCCTGCACATCCTGCAGCAAGTACTGCAGGCCACCTAAGATACATTCCTCCTCTGACAACTATTTCTACCCAAGGAAAATAATCAAGGAATTTTCCTTGCCAGTCAGTGTGTGTCCCAGGTCATAGTTCTGTGATGAGCACCCTGTGCTCTGCGCTCCCCATTGCTGCTGGACACTAGTATGCCAACATGTCTGATCTTTTTAATCCATCCCTGGCTTTGAGAACAGGAAGGAGAGGGCAATAGCTGGTGCAGTTGAGGTCTTAGCTTAGTTCACCAGCACAAGGTCAAGACAGTTGCCTGATAAAGCTGGAATCCAGTGAATTGTTTTAAATTGAGCCCAACTATTCTGGGAACTGGCCTCCAGTTTATTCTTGGATCAATATAAGTGGTACAAAAGCAAAGTGTTTCACTAGTTAATGTAGGGACAAACCCTGCCAGTCAAAGGAGGCCTGACAGGCTAGAAAGCCAGGATAGTTTTTAAGGAGCGAGTGTGTATACAAGTATGTGTGCAGAAGCAGAGTCCATATGGAAGGTGTGGACCCTCTGTACCCCAGGAACTGTGCTCCACAGTGGCTTCAATCATCTTTGTTCACAGAAGGCTTGAAGGGATAAGGCAAGGATGCTTGTTGGTGGATCTCCAACTATATATAACCATTTTGCAGTGGGTGTAGGTACAACAGATGAAGCTACAGCAAGTGCTTAGGGGTGGTTCCTTTGCTACCTCTCAGTGCCACATGGGAAAATATCAGCCACTCCTGACTCTGGCCACATGGGAAAATATCAGCCACTCCTGACTCTGGCAAAACTCCACTGTACAGAACTGGTATGAACAGGCTGAGCTCAGGGATCATGATTTGGCCTTCCATTCATAGCATCGGCCTCTCCAACCATCATGTACCTTGAAACAATTGGGAGCAGCCACAGCTTTTTTTCCTCTCCAAACACTTGCTGGAGATTCTTTACGAAGCCCAGATTGAATCCATTTTTATCTGGACCATTTTGAAACACTGGAGCTGAGAAGGCCTCTATGGACAGATTCAATTACAGGGAAAAAAAAGAAAGAACCAAACATTACTGATGCATGGCAGTAACATTTACTTTGCAGATACCATGGGCACATTAAACAATTAAACACATTATGTCATGGAACATTATGGAAGGTTACAGGAGTGAACTTGGAGATAATAAGCCTACAAATCTTTTGATTACTGCATTCTCTCACAGACAGCACACTCCAGAATATATTATGCACCTTGTTTTTGAAAGGATAAAAGATCCTTCCTTGTAGCAAGTAACTGGGTAGCAGCAGCTAGGAAGCCAAGCCTGCTGACTCTTCTGTTCTCTGTGGATCACTGCAGAGTTTACTTATAGTTTTAGCCGGTGAATAGAAAAAATGACTCTTACTGTATTTCTTGCATACAAAGCACACTCCCATTTCCAGTAACAGTTTTTTGGGAGAAAGATTTATGTTGTGTGCAAGAAAATTTGGTAGTTCCAGTATCTTAAAATGGAGGGCATTCATTTAATTTTGCAAATAAATCACAAAGAATAACCCAAGAACCAATTAAAATTTATTTGTTTAAACCCTCAAAAGTCAGAATGAACGTCATCAATTCATGTATCTAACAATCTCTAGTGTCCCTAATGACATTTTTACTATACAAACTAAAACATGCTGTTTTCAATGAAGGAGAAAACCTCCAATGGCATACATTCAAAATTAAATGTTTTCTCTTATATTTGTTGGAATACCTTGAGGTGAACGGCAAACCTGTCTTTTTTATAACACTATTTCATGGTGAACACAAAGTCTTACCCAAAGTAGACCTATTTCTACTGATGAGCCAGCAGTGGTAGCCGAAGAGAAACATCAGGCTTACAAAAAACATGACTGCCACAAAAAGAAGGAAAAGCACATGGAACTTTGAACGTCCATTAGTCAATTCACCCTGGGAAGGAAAGCAAAAGGGCATAAATGACAAGAAAAATTGAGAAAGAAATTGTTCCTTGATAGGTTAAATGTTCTACTATATCTAATAAACATGATATGGGGTTTTTAGACTTTCACATTTAAAAATATAACATTTTTGTCTTGCTACAAAACACAAGACAACGAGGAGACAGGCAGACTTTTCTCCACTTCTGGGATTTTGCTACTTATTTTTTTAATGGAACAGGTCCAGTTTGTTCACAGTTTCCCATATGGGCATCAGAAGCACGTCTTATGCCCACAGTGCATTTGGCAGGCAATGACAAGCTCTTTGAAAGCCTGTTCGCATTCTGCTGAATTTTCTTTAATCTTCATGTTTTCCTGGATGCACATTAACTCACTGCACCTTTTCCAATGGCTACCTTCCAACTTAAGAAAAACCAAGAAATCTGAACTGCTACTTGATAACAACAACCCTGAAGTACACCAAGTCCTGGGGATAGCTCACTTCACAGTGAATCTAAGCTAAGCAGAATCTTACAGGTGGCTGAAATGCTTTCACCCTAAAACAGAGGAGCTAAATGCCAAAAAGGTCCTCCAGCCCAAACAGCTCAGAGACAGGATCTCCCTGACTCTTGGAAGTGAACACATATGCAGTAGGGCAACAGCCTGCCGAACTGCATGCGCCTCATGCACTAAACTCTATTTATAGTCCCTGAGTCTTCCTCAGTATGCAGAGCAACCTTAGGGGTGCTTGGGTCAGAAGTTTTGTTCGTCACTTCATTTAAAAAATGGCTAAGTTAAGGTACTAAGAGGCTAAGTGACTTGACCAGCATCACACAGTGAATCAGCAGCACCACAGATACTAGAAACCAAGAGTCTGGAGGCCTGGTCTCCCATTGTAACTATCAGCTGACACTGCCTCTGTCTAAACTAATTAGAATTTAAAAGTAACACTCAGTATTTCAATCAACTTTTAAGTCAGGAAAGGAAGACAGTAAGGAGACACTGAACGTCAAAGCAGTTTCTGAAAACACTGTATCTTACGATCAATGCATGTAGATCAATAGCAGGATACAGCTTTTTATATTAGTTCTCAGAGCAGCTAGGAAGAGGGCATGTGTACTGCAGGAACTAAGTTTATGGAGACCGCTAGACATAGTAATAAACGAATAACACTAAAAGTACTGTGTATCCCCTTTGTCTGCACCTTAGTGTGTTAGACTTGACCCACAGCAGGAAGGCTGGGAAAGTGAGTCTGGATATTACAGGAAACAATATAATTGGTAAAAAAAACCCAAAAAACAAACCTACCCCACTTAGGAATTCCCTGTAACAATAGTGAAAATATTTATGAGGTTTTCAAGCAGCCACTTCATTAGCATCCAGTGCCAGAAACCCAGGAAATTCTACCCAGAAGACAAATTATCCCCCAATCAGCAAAGACATTCTCAGTGATGACATTGTATGATTGTGCAATATTTCCTAAAAGCAGTTGGCATTTGGATTTTGGATGTGTCATTGTACTGTTGAAACCTGAGGGCCTGGTTTTTATTCACTGGTTTCAGTTCTGTAAGTGCACTGGCTTCAGTGGAGTGATTCCTGATCCATAAGAGAGCAGAATAAGGTCCAATGTACATTATCACCACCGTGATACACTGATTCTGAACTACATTTCATCCTGATGGTGTATTTCTAGCCAAGAGGCATCTGACCTCCATTACCTTCAAGTGATTTTGAACTGCATATATGTCTTGTTAAAAGGTGCCTAAACTTATTTTTCAGAAAGCATGGCTTTGTGAGCCAAGCTTCTGGTCTGAAATTCCTGTTTCCCCTTCCAATTTTGCATGTGTGTCACAGTGCAAGTAACGCTCCCATATAGACTTTGGAGAAAATACCCCTATTGCTGAAATCCAGAGTCTCTTTCTGTAGGGTGAAAGTAAACGGGTACCAAAGGACCACATAAAACTCCAGTAAGAGTTATAAAATAAATAGAAGTAACCAGATTCCAAAACTTACTGTCCAATACTTAATGAAATACTTGAAGACTGTTGCAGCAATATACAAGCAATACAACAAAGAATACGCTAAGAACAGTAGAAAGAATTTGTAGTTAGAAAATCCAATGCAGTTATTCACCCTAGAGAATAAAAGCAAAGTTGAAATCAGGATATGTACAGCAACATGGTTCAAATACAAGGAATATTAATTTTTTTTCTATTATTCTTTAAAGGTGTTTGATTAAACAAAATAGCATGTTCAATAAACAGCTCCCCTTAGTGGTAATAATTGAACATAATTCTGTTCTTGTTTAACTTTCGTATCCTACCTGCAGGCAAAATTTACATTTAGCAAAAACAAGTTTTTTAATATCAAAAGACTTGGTTTTCTCAGTTTGCCTACACTGTTGGGTTGGCACAGAGGCAGGCTCAACCTGCAAAATTTAGAGTTGTGTTTGGTGTTGAAAAACCCAAAACTGAATGTATTCCGATCTGGGATCCTAATTTTGCTTGTATGGGCCACTTGTGAAGTACAGGGGCTTGGTTCACAGTGATTTGTACCATGTCGAGTTACCTGCATATATACAACAAAGTAAATGCTAAATGTTAGTGCACTATAATTCTCTGCTCACGTTAATGGAAGCATCTTTATGCCCACTTTATAGAGGTATAAATGACCTCCTAAAGGTGCAAAACAGTGGGGAGAAAAGGTCAGGTCTCACATCTGGATTGGAGTTCAGATTTGAAACACTCCCTAAATTTGGGAATAAAAATCTGTGGTTCTGCTTCATGCCTGTGTCTATGTTGTTTCTGGTTCCTGAAGTCTCCCTTTTGGAAAAAAGGAAGAGAGCAGCAGAGTTTGAGAAATCCAATAGCAACAATTCAAAATCTCAACCAGCCAGTTCTAGAATACAAATCTATAGATCCACTATCCATAAGGGATTTTTAAGTGTATAAACACACACACAATTGGCGGGATCAACTACTGGTTATATCCTGACTGATTACATACATAAAATTAAAGGTCGGGTCAAGGCCCCTTTGAAAATATGGGCAATAATCAAAGAAGTTAATTTGTTATTTAAACTGTGTCAGTACAAACACTTCTTCAAACACAGTTAACAAGAATGTTCTTTATCTGTCACTTTGAAATATTATATGCTGTGGACAACTTCACAATATGAGCATTTCCTACCATGACAGACACACTACGAGTTACATGCAGCATTAGTGAATGGAAGAGGCATGCAAACATGCTGTTAAAGACAAAGGTGTTTAAACAGTCTTTACTTTAAAAAAAAATCTACAAACCAGTCTCCAGGACATACCATGGACAATGATGATCCATTTTCAGCACACATCTGCAGGAAGACATAAAGGAAAAGGAAGCAAAGAAGTCAAGACTTACATTCTGTACTTAACCATCATTTGCAGATCAGCAACAAAGTCTTCTTCAATTTTTTTAACCCATCAAAAAAACAATTGAATTCACTAATATTTGTCTGTCCAGCGGAGCTCGCGTTAGACAGATTCCTTCTATCACCTAACTCCCCATGTGGGAAAAAGTATAAAATACTACACTCCTATAAGGGGGACAAAGAGTCTTGTGGGTGCTAATACTAAGACTCATGCATGCAGGTGTTTGCATCAAGGTGCTGGCTCATGCATGTACAATAATTCAAGGTGAAGACCCAACAGAAGCCATCTGAAAATCTTTCCCTTAATGTTTGGCTGTTCTTTGGGTACCTACATATGTATAACTACACATGCGGGAGCCAGTCATTTTTTCTGGTCAATACTGACATTAGTGTAAAAAACAAGCCAGTAACTCACATAGCACAAACAGAACAGTGGTGGCAACGATCAGGTTTGATCAGCTGGCATCTATCACAGAATCGAACGGCTGAAATTAAACACAAAAATATTAGCACTGGATTGTGTTAAACAACAAGCCAAAAAGAACACTTAGTATTCTGTCCTCGCCATTTACATTTTCCTCTTATCATTGCGATCCTCTCCTGCTTTACAAGCTGGGTGTGTTTATGGTTGATTCTGGCTGCCAAGCTGGAAAACAGATGGCAGAATTCTGAACCACTGCTTAAGAACTGGCTTTGGGGCAGGATTTTTCTCTGAAGTGTATAACCAGCTTAATGCTAGTCAAAAGAGATGGATATATGCAGGGGCGAATCCAGGATTTCCCAAAGGGGGAGGTACAGGAACAGCAACCCACACTGCGGGGGTGGCTGCACTCCTGCGACCAGCCTTCTCTGCTCCCACTAGTGTAGGCAAACAGCTCTGTAGTAGCCTCTGGGGACTCCTGTAAGCTTACACTGTGAGCTGCACAAATGCTAATCGGTGTTAGTGCTGGCTTGGAGTCTGGAGCAGTCACACCTTTAGTCTAGAAACTGTCTCTGACAGTCCCCCACCTGCACGGCTGTGACTAGAGGCCTGGTGAGCAGGAGAGAACCAGGAGCTGTAGATGTGAGTTGCCTGGGATACTGAAGGACTTCAACTTGGGCAGCTCATCTGTGGGGAGTGGTCACACCTTAATGCAGTGGTTCCCAATCTTTTTAGATAGCAGACCAACAAACCTGGGACCGGAAGTGACCGCGGACCGGCAAACCGCAGAATGGAAGCGACTGGAGTACTGCAGGCTGGCAGCCAACCCTTTTTTATACTTGGTATAAAAAAGGAATGGAAAGGGTTGGCTGCTGGTCCGCAGTATGCCAGTCACTTCCAGTCTGTGGTTTGCTGGTCTGCAGAATCACTTCTGGTCTGGCAGCCAACCCTCCTGCAGACCGACAGCCAACCCTTCGTGGCCTAGCACCGGGCCACAGTCCAGGGGTTGGGAATCTTTGCCTTAATGGAACAGGAGCTGGGTAGTACAAATCAGAGATAATCCTGCCTTGGCGTGGCGTAACTTTGAGCCACATAACAAGAGTTTAAGACCACTTTAAGGTGTTCAGGTGTGGACAACTCAGGGGTTAAGAGCCCCAGGAACCACCCAAAATTACCATGTAACATGACCTTAAGTCCCTAAAGCAGATGAAAATCCCCACCCCCTCCCCTCCCTGCTCAGAGGCAAGCCTCTCTGCTTCCCCCTACCCTTCCCTCCTGGTAGGGATGCTCCACAGCCATATGGGGACTGGGTCTCATCTGGGTAGGGGACAACAGAAACAGCCTGTCAGAAGAGTAGTTCCCACCACCCTGCCAGGTCACAGCACGGGGTAGTGGAACCTCCGTCCAGCCCTGCTGCCGTCGTCCCCATTCCTAGTTGAGTGGCCCCTGGGCAACAAGCAGGAATTCCCTAGCTCTAAGATAGCAGGGAAAGGCAGTGGGGGAGGGGAAAAGGGTGGGAAATACATTCTTGAGCACAAAAGGGAAGGAAGAAAGGTTTTCCTTTTGCTTTAGGGACTTAAAGTGCCCAGAGGCTCCTGTAGTGCACTCCAATCCAAAAGTGGGGTATAGCCACACCACCGAGCTCTCTCTGGATCTGCCCCTGGACATCTGTATACATATCCCCGTCTCTCCATTTGCACTGTGGCCTTGAAAATGCTGTGCTGCCAGGACAACAGTGGCTTACCTTAAATGCCTGACTAATGAAAATACACAGCATTAAAACCTGTAGCCATTCCAAATTTGGAAGCCCTGCAGACTTCAACAAGAAGGCAAAGTGCAAATGACTGCAGAGCAGGTCCATGGGGGACGACCTATTTATTGAACCGTGTCTTCATTAAGGTCAAACCCCATTTAATTAAAAAAGGCTATGGGACACTACCAAATATACATTTGGGGACCCAGCCAGGTTCTCCACCCTTGACATATAACAAAGAGGATAACCTAATGCTTCAAAACACCTGGGATTCCACTTACAAATGGAATAAGCATACAAGGAACTCTTCCCCCCCCGCCCCCCAATCAAAAAAGATTAGAGGAGGGAAGCCAGGAGAAAAATCCTTTACACTAATAATATTCCCTCAGCATTAGCACAGAAATCCTTTAGTGGGATGCCCCGGCACTGGGGAGGTTCGGTGACTCTGCAGAATAAGCTGGATTGCCAGCACATGCTACTTAGCTTGACTGATTAGATTTGCTTCAACAAAGCCCTTTGCTGAGCTGACCTCCATTCCCCGTTCTCGTGTACACTGGCAGCTTCCTTGCGATTTCAGCAAGAATCTGCCTCTGCACCTCCGGCCTCTCTTCATTTTCATAGCGTTCTTTGTCAGTGTAGGAAATATGGAACTAGGAGCAGAAGTGATGAGAAAACCAATTACCCAAGTGTAGCAGAGGTAGTATTTAAAATCCAGGGCTGGTTGGAATAATTATTGTCCTCTCACTCCTTTCAAAGCACAAACATTAATCTGACATGAAAGTGCTTTCGCTTACAAGATAAACAGACAAATAATTAGTGGCGGACAGACAGAATGCAGGGAGACTAACTGCTGGGAGACACAAAACTGAAGGGAAGGTCACAGAATAATAGATTAATTTCACTACTACTTGCTGCTTCAGACATTCAGACAAAAATAATAATAGCAATGATGATAATAGCAGCACTTACCAGGCAAGTTCTGAGCCAGACACTGTTCTCAATTACACATTAGTTAAAAATCACAGCTGACATAAAAGTGTATCTCTGTAATTGTGGTCAGACTTTGGCCCCTGAACAAGTGCTGTACAAACATTAAGTTGCCCACCTTAATCACCTCCTTCTGAAGCAGGTGTTTTGTAAAATAAAGCACAAAAAAGGTGAAGTGACTGGCCCAGAGCTGGAAAAGCTTTGGTATCTGCCCCAGCCTGCAGCCAGCTTCCAGAAGAGGTAAGAGCGGCCAGCATTAGAACCAGGGAGGAATCTAGCTGGACCCCCCACCCAACAACCAAGCAGACCAGGTCCTTTAGTTTGGGAGGGAATCTTAATGCGGCACTAGCAGTGCAACGGTGCTCCTGTTCAGACCTGTGCTCTACTCTGAGTAATGGCTTCTATGAAGGCAGGGAGGCAAGGACTCATCTAGCGCCGAATATAGAAGACAAGTCCTTCATCAAGCAGAACTCTCATGGTACTCCTCCAAGGAAGCCAGATGGTGTAAAGTCCCCAGGGTTTGGCTCAGTTTGATAAATGCTTAGGGATCAAAGAAGCTATAAGTATGTAAGTTAATGATAATAAATACCTTTATCCTCAACAATTTTAAATCCTGTTAGCATCTGAACTACCTGAAAAGACAGCTTTAAAGTAATACCATGTCTGACTTAAACTCCTCAGGCAGTAGAATTTAAATGATTTTCAGAATAGTTAAACTTTCCTGTTCATGGACAACTTTCCATCTATTCAGGAAGACAGATCATTTGCCTTGGGCAACAAAAAGTTCTCCTTTTAATGCCTTCACTTTCATCTGGCCTTAGATTTGCAGTGCATGAAAAATTCTCAGTTCTTACCTTTTTATCTGGCTGCATTGGGAGAGTAAAAATAGACTTCCAGTATGTCCACACAAAGAGCACAAAGATGACATGGAATACTGCGAGGTAGGCCACTAGTGGAGAAGAAAAGAATAAGGACTTGTAAGCACAGGTCAGGCTATAGTTTTCATCACTTACGGTACTTCACTTTAAAAACAGATGCGCTCCTCATGCATCTCATGCCAGAGGAAAAAACAAATGTACTAGGACGTGTTTCTTAGTCCATGTGAACAGTCTTTTAAGCAGGCAGGCAAAACTATGTTTCCGTGGTTACTGAGAAAGATTACAGAAGCAAGGCAGGGTGCCTGGCACACCATGACTTTATGAAAGCTTAGATGATTCGGTGCAATCCTATTTCAATATATGAAGTGTCTTACTTTTGGAGGAGCAAGAAATAAGGCATAAGGAGAGGGAAAGCAGGCCCAAGGGCAGTTTTCCATGCACTGTACAAAGCACTTGAGCATTCTTTTGGATGCTCAAAAGCCACCACAATATTGACTAGTGCTACATCTGCAGTGACTAGAGAGCTCTGTTTTAAGCATGCTATATAAACAGCAGCGATGTGTGTGCTGTCCCCTACCTTTATTTTGAACAATTCTAACAGAGGGATACAACAACCACAAGAAGAATGAGGCGTCTTTGAATCAAATCCTGCATCCTTATACCTATTGTATGGAAATTTCACTAATGTAAAAGTTGCATGCAGACTTCAGGCCCTTCCCATGTGATTCATCATGAGGAATCTATTGCAAAGCTGGAAACAGAACTTAGATCACCTGACTTCCAGTCATGCCTCTTACCCCCAAGGCCATTCTCTCTCTGAGTTTTTATGTGAGGTTACATCCTCTCCCTGAAACAGTCAACACTGGCAACTGGCTATTAGCAGTATGTCAGCCTAGATACATTAGTGATAGTTTCCTGTGCACCGTTCATTATATATTTCAAAAGGATATAGGTAACTTGCATGCACCAGTACTACGCATGGTATTTCTGTATTAATTAGGACTGTATTGCCAGAGTAGAGACATAGAGAAGTTCTTAGAGGCTGCTGTGCCCCAAAATGCTTGTTTTCCTTTCCCCGTGAAATAAAACAGTAACTTTACAACCCCTTCCACTTAGAAAATTTCCCTGAGCTTTCCCAGAATCTAACTGACAACAGCAGAGAATGTCTACCATGACAATGCAAAGCAGTTGTAAGCTAGTTAAGAAACTTGCCTCTGCAAAGTAATGGAATAGCAGATCCAAATTCTCCATGACCCAAGGAGGAAACCATGCACTGAAGAACAGCCATGAACCCCCTTCGGGAGAGGGTACTGATTTTTCAGTGTCATTCAGTCATTCTTCGCCTAGCATTTAAGGAGAGCATGCTTCCTGCAGGTTCTGTTCTGCTGGTAAGGTGGTATAAAGTCTTTTGCTGGAAGGAGGGGATCTGAGCGATTGTGAAGATTCAGGGGCAGATTTTACAAAGAATATCTGTTTTGTTAGAGGGTCACAAACCTATCGCCATAGTGGATATACTTCCTTTGTGACCATTTCATATAGGGGCAGCTATTTGTTGTTAAGAGGATCTGGTTACTGGAGATGGAGAGGAGTTGCCCTAGAGGCATAATTTTAATGTGTGCCAGCTGGTCAGGGTTCTCAAGGGACAGTGCCAGCTGAAGATTGTGAGAGCTATTCCTCCCCAACCTCTGTGCCAGGCTCAAGGGGGAAGGCAGAGTGGGAGCTGCCTATGCTGGCTGTCTCTCTTGGGAACGCCCTGACATTAGCTGATACAGTGCCAGATTCCAGCCCCTTCACTCAATCAAGCCATCACAAAAGGGGATGCAGCAGGAGGCAGAAACTGGGCACAATGGTCCAAATGGCGAAAGCCCCACTGACTCCATTCCTCAGGGCCAGAATTTGGCATATTACCTGCTTGTACCAACTATACCTCTGTCTAATCAAGTAAGATTGCTTCTCTTGCCTGATTCATTCAGTGACCCCAAGAGCCAGTTTCTACAACATCAGAACAGTTTCTCTGAGAATAAACTTCCACATTACCAAATGAATTTACAAAAGGTGCAAGCCAGCGACAATGGGACACAAACTCTTTTGTTTCTAGGTCACTGGTCCTAATTCATCCAGACTGGTAGCAACCAGAAATCATTATCATTCATTGGCTGTTCACTGGCCTACATACAGTGTGTCGTGGTCTTGGATGAAATATAGCTATTTAAAAAGAAACATTACAAGTGGCCTTAAAATGGAAGTCTCCAGAGAAAGATGAAAAAAGTAAATGAGGCCAGAGACTGACATACCAATTAGAAAGGATTTTTTTAATAGAAGAACCTTAACGACCTTCAGCAGAACAGTGTGCGTGCATGTGTCTGACTGTCCGTAGGCCATGGGGGAAGCCTCTACTTGCTTTAAGAATAAGCAAAAGATATCCACATCTAACATTTTTTCTCTATGCAGAGAGGTGAGAATACTTGTACTGATGGGTGCCGTATACCCCTCTGTAATCTAAAACAAGGATAAGGAAATATTGGTGGAGAATGATAATTGAATGGAATTCTAGGAAAATCTCATTTGTGAAGTTTGCTGGAGTATGGAATTGCTTGTTTTCAAATGAATTGAAGCAGTCTAATATTTGACAGTTTAGGACACACTGCCCTTCATCCCTCCCCTGTGACAGCTGCACACATATAAATACACAAAGCTGATTTTCAACTTTTGGGATTTATTTTAAATAGATGTTCATGCGCTTTTAGAAATAAAGACCAAATGTCAAGGTCTTGGATAAGATTCACTTACCTCTTTCCACAGGATTGGTCAGAGTCACTGAAAAGAAAGAAAACAAATATATGTTTAGAGACTGCTCTGAAAATTATGTTTGCTGTATAATCTTTGTTAAAACAAAATGGAAATTAAAAAGGAAGCAAATTCAAGCTGAAAGAGTAATAAAAATTATCATGTATTTTATCATTAAAGATAAACACAATCAAACATTAATGTACAGCTGGTAAGCAACTTTTTTTTTTTTAATTTATTCACTCAAACACTCTCTATAATAAAACATTCAAGCACCTTAGTTATGCCATATTTTCCATTTCTACAAGACACAATTTTTCTTGGAGGTCCCGATGACCTTGATACCTGCAAGCTAAACAGGGCTCTTCTAATATCCCACCCAAATAACATCTTCGCTATTTACTGATATGCCTGCTTGGAGCTAGTCTCCAGCTGCTTTCATTCCTACGCTCCACTTCCTGTCCGGAGATGTACATTCCATCTTATAGCTACATAAATTAAAATGAGAACACAGTACCTGACCCAATAACCCAGTCACTAGCACTCTGGAGTGACATGCAGGAAACAATGATTTTACTTTGACATCTCTACTGGGCTACCCATGGCCCTATGGAGCCCACTGCTCCAACCTGCAGGGAGGTGGGGAACATGATTCAACAGCTACTTGTACTGATTGAAGGAAGCGTGGCTATCTGGTCAACAGTGGCAAGAGCTCTGTGTTGTCTCAAGTTATATCCTCAGCCTGACCTGAGGAATGCGAAAGTTGGCAAGCTGCAAAGGGAGACCTGTCCAGTCTTTAACTAGCATTTAGAGGCTACAAAGATTAACAGTGACGAACAACTATCACGAGCCAGAATGTTGGGTTTTCTTCGTTACCAAAAACTCAATCAAGAATTTTTAGACCTGAGTTTTTATCTGAAATTTTCCTTCTTCCTCCATTTCCAAATTTATTTCTTTATTGGAAAGAAATTCCAAAAGTACTGGCATATCTGAACCCTGAAACAAATTTGTCAGATATCTGTATAGCAAACTTTTTAATAAAAGGGTAAATAACCATTATCTTTTGGAAGCCAAAGTGAAATGGAAGGTGCATGATTTTCCAGACCAATTTACGCATATAATCAGACAGTCTAACACAGCATGGCAGGAGCATTTGCACCTCAGCTGGTTGCTTACTACACAGGATTATTACCACTCATCAGGCTACAGAGAACATGGCTGTGCAAACAACTCTTATGTAAAAAAAACCCTTTTACATTGTGATCACTTTTATTTTCCTAAGCTAACCCAGGTGTGTTCAAGGCCTAACCTTAAATGGGAGACTTCTCCAAAAAAAAAAACCACACGGTACACTGGAGGAGAAACTATGAATAAAGGTATGTGATGGTATTATCTTCTACCAGATCAGAAGGAGGAGGTTATATTATGGTTTAAATGAACTACTATCCATATAGTTTAGATGAACTGTTCCAAACATTTGTTCAACACCACACAAAGTCAGTGGCAGTAAATCTACAGGTTTATCAAAACAGATTAAATATGTATATTTTTACTGGGATGCTGAGCAGATGTGATCCACATTTAATCACTTTTCTGAATACAATGAAGATATCTCCTATTCCAGGAAACACTGCCTAAAAATCATAGACTCTGTTCCTCATTCATTTAAAATATTTTAACTTCTGGGAGTCCATCCATTTCTTTTGGTCTTTTGGATCGTCCAATTTTTTTTTACCAGGATGAGGGAGGAATCTTACCCACATTAGGTTCTATTTACAGGCGGTCTTCAGACTTACAACACAATTGGTTCCTAAACACCATGTCCTGAGCTGAAACGTAACTCAGAACCAATTTTCCCATAGGAACAATGTTATAACTAAGGCCTGATACCCTATTTTCACCAAAAAATAACTCAGAATTTTGTACTCAATCAATTACAGATGAGTAATATAGCTACAATGTATATATATAGTGTAAACAGCAATCATATTGATTTGGAAGGATTTCTTTCAGGTGACTTTGCTGGACTTTTTGAAGGGCTCTTGGCTGAAGTCTTCTCAAGAGTCTTGGTTGCATGTTTTATCTGCTTTCTTAAAGAAACTGTCCAAGGAAGTTTGGACAGATGTTTTCCAGGGAGATGGACGACACAGCAAACATATACGCTGGTGTGGCGTGGTGCCGGATCAAGCATCATAAAGTAGAAACTGGTGTCAGAATGTCGAAACAGGGTGTCAATTTATAAACGTCCTAAGTGCTGTTTGTTGCAACTCAAAAAGTCTTAAGTCAAGGACTGCCTGTACTTAATTTATCTCTGACAGAGCATAACTTGGGGAAACGGATGTTTCATGGGACTGGCAGCGAGGTAAAAAGTCTTCCATTTCTGGTTTGACAGTTTGAATCCAGTGGTAGTGACTAAAAGCTGTTAACATCTAAAGGATGTAGGATGGCCAAGATGAAAGCCCTCTCAAATCCCACTCAAAAATCAAGAGCCAGTCACTAACTCCCCTGCTGGCCAGCAATACAGAGCCACCAGAGCCCATCTCAGTGACAGCCCCTTCAGATTAAGGACACAGCAAATGGACTGGACAGCATCGGGAATTTGACCTTGACAAATCTGCTCATGCTAGGATTGTCATGCATGCATCTTTCCTTCACAATCCACTCACTTCAAATATGTAAATAAGAATAGGAGCTGAGATGATTAATGATTGGGATGATGAGTGCACATTTAGCAAATTTGCCGAGAATACCAAGTTGGGCAGAGTTAGAGATACTCCAGAGGGCATGGCATGGCCAGGATCCACAATAACCTGAACAGGATGGAAAAATGGTCCACAATGAATCAGATCATATTAAACAAGGACAAGTGCAAAGTCCTACACTTCGGAAGGAAGAATTGCATCCATAAATATGGGCTGTGGAATGACTGGCTGGGCTGCGGAAATCGACCTGGGGGTGATAGTGGACCATAAGCCGAATGAGCCAACAGTGTGCTCTTATTACAAAAAAAAGCCAATAGCATACTGGGGTGTATTAACAGGAGTGTCTCTTGAAAATCAAGGGAAGTGATTCTTCTGCGCTATTCAGCACTGGTGAGGCCTCTTCTGGAGTACTGTGCCCAGTTTTAGCCCCCACATTTCAAGAAGGATTTGGACAGTTTGGAAAGAGTCCAGCAAAGAGTAACAAAAATTACTAGGAGCCTGGGAGGCAAGACGGGTGAACAGAGGCTGAAAGAACTAGGATTACGTAGTCTGTAAATGAGGAGCTTGAGAGGGGATTTGATAGCAGTCTTCAAGTACCTGAAGGGCGATTACAGACAGGAGGGAGATGAGCTTTTTCTGGTGCTGAACAGGACAGGATTAGGAGCAATGGCCTCAAGGTGCAGCAGGGGAAATTTAGGTTGGAGACTAGGAGGAACTTTCTCACTATGAGGGTGGTCAAGCATTGGAGCAGGCTCATGAGATAAGTTGTAGAATCGCTATTCTTGGAAGTTTTCAAGAGCAGGTTAGACAGACACTTGGGTGGGATAGTTTAGTCAAGGATGGTCCTGCCTTGAGCAGAGGACTGGACTAGATCAGTGGTTTTCAACCTTTTTTGTACCAGAACCCACTTGTAAACATAGATGGCCAGTCCTGACCCAGTAAATAGTTTAAGTAGAAAACAGCTCCCTGGCCCTCCCAGTACCACTTGCTCCCGACCCTCTGCCCCCGGGCCCCAACCCCTAGTGTGTGGGGCAGGGGTGGCCCCCAGCAGCCATACTAATCAGTACTTTTGAACCACCAACTATTTTAGAGTTCAATAATCAGGACTTACAAATGAAAAACTCAGGAACATTTATGAACTGCCTCTGTGCAATCACAGATTTACAATGCACTATGTAGTATAAATGCTATGCAACCTCTCCTCTTTCCTTTGGTTCTCTGGCAAATGATACCTGTCCAGCTTCACACAACTGCAGCCTGGATCCTTTTGACCCATGCACTTGGGCCCTTCCAGGCACTGAAGTCTGTCTTGACCTTAGGGAGAGCAGGAGCTAAACCTTGTGATTTTGTAAGAACTTGTTCTTTTCCCTTCTCTCTGGGATGGCATAATATGGGTCCCTGGTCTTTGGCATACTCATTCCCTATCACTGTCACACTGTGGCAGCATCCTATCAGCTAGTCACTGGAACCAGTCCTGCTCTGGACCACAGATTTCTGTCCAAATCTGCCAGCAGGAGTTGCAGTGACAATGACATGAGATATTTCCTCTAGCACAGAGGTCACCATCCAAATGCTGCTTTAAACACCCATCAAACTGAAAATCTAAAGACAAAGAACAAGAGCTGGAGCTGAATCTCCACTGTTCACGTGTTTGAAATGCATTGCTTAGTGCGACATGACAAAAAACTATGTTTAAGATGACTATTATTTCAAGAAGCTGGAGAGGATTGCTCAGTGCCCTATGCCCTATCAGGTTTCATACGCCTGCATGCCCAGCAAATCCTCAGAACCAATTTTTTCACCCTTCAACCTAAATTTCATGCAGCTGTTTTGTGCGTGTGGTGCTGGTCAAGTCTCTCAGATGATGTCTTAGACACTGAAGTGCCATCTGCTCTGCATGGGCAGTGAAGATGGTTTGGACAATGAGGAGAACAAAGTGGGGGCAGAATGAAGTGTTGCTATTAAACTTACATAGCATGTCAATCCAAGCATTCTCCAAAATCTTGAGTGGTACTTTAGACATACACTTTGTTAAACATTTTATGTAATTTGGGACAACAGTTACTTAACAGGCCCACTAATCATTTCTCAGCAGCTGGGGATTTGTTTCTTGTATAATTAGTTCCTAAAAAAGTGCAATAATAGATCTAACCACAAAGAGACAAAAATAACAAGGTCACAGAATGGAATAATTTAGCAACAGGTTCAAATTAAACAAAACAAATGCAGGGCAAATCTCTAGTACCTAATCCAACTGGAGAAAAACAAAAATAGTGATGACAGCCCTGGCTGCCTCTCTCAACAGAAGAGAACCAACTAATTTGTCAGTTTTCTTTTCTTCCATAGCAAGAGTCTTCTAGGTTGGAGGAAGACCACAAAACAGCTCTTCTCTTCTCATGAACTCCACTTCTTTTATCTACTCTTTTATCAGCCTTATCCCATGTAAGAGGAACATTTCTCTGTCCCACCTCCCAGAAGCTTAACATGCCAAAGCTACCAGCTCTTCTCACCAAGTTTGTTAATTACAGCAGTCTTCCAGGTGTCATATTGTCCTTTTTGTCCCCCAAAAAGCCTAAAACCCTTTCTTGGGTCACTCAGAATAAGCCTGCACAGCCCAAAGTCCCCTTAAATTATCAAATATCAGTATACAGAGAGCATTAAACTTGTAAACTTATTATGCAGCATTTAAAGCAGAGGTGGGCAATTATTTGGGCACACAGGCCACATCAGGAATTTTGGTGAGCTGTTGCAGGCTTAGTCAGTAGCCCTTCCCACCAGCAACAGTGTCAGTAGCTGGGACCTACCGCAGACTGGAAAAAATCCCTTGGCAGGCTGGACATATTTTGCCCACCCCTGATTTAAAGCCTCCTAGGTTATTATGTGACTTTAAGGAAGTGCTAGAGTAACAAAGCATTTCAATCCTGGCAAAAAAATGAAATTCTTCTGAGTCTCTCAGTCAAGAAGCAAAAGCCAAAAGAAATTGCTCTGCATTGCAGACCAACAGTCACTTCTGTTTTAATTTAAACGAAAAACACTTCCAAATATGACTCGAGTCCATTTGTGTGAAATTTCACTGGGATTCAGTTTCTCTTCTTTCCCTCAGTTTCATATTTGTTTAAACACCCACTACCATGGTATCTGCGAATACAACATATAGACTCAGGACCATGTGAAACAGCCCACAAGAAGCATGCAGCAGCTGCTAAGTCACTGCTCAGTCATGAATTCGCTGAATAAGCGTGATGACTCATACGCGATGAAGAAACACAAATGCAAGTGAAATGGTTCCTCGACGGGAACGTTCACATTGTCACACTGCAGTCAAAGGCATGACTGCGGCTTCTGCAAACATGCAGGAACTAGTTGTGAAACCTGCTTGAGATACTTGGGTGGTTAGCTGGCACGTAGCTCCCGGCTGCCGTGGCTAAACTGTTGTCAGTCCCAGAGCAAGTGAGATTACAAGATTTATACAAACTGTGCTCACACCTTCCAACACAGCAGATGCAAAGAGGTCCTCCCAACTTTCTTGAAAAAGTCAGGCCTATTTGATACACAGAAAAACACAAACCTAGGCCCACGCAGACACGGTTAGCCCTCTCTGGTTAGTGGGGTCACCGAGTGTGCATCAAGAGTTGGGGCAACTTTTTTTTTAAATGAAATTTCCATATTCCTAGCCAAAAAAATTCCAAATCCGTGAGTCAGTGCAGAACCATAAGCGGCCCTACTACCAGCGAACATCCTCCACCCCCACCCGGGCCGGCTACACGTTTCCAAACCCTGCTTGCAGCAGAGGCTTGGGGTTCGGACGCCCCCAGTGTTGCTTGCTCAGGCCTAGGGGCGCAGGGGCAAGCCAGGGAGGAGTCTGCCCTTTCCATAAAAGGGGCTTAAAGCCAAGACCTTCCTGCTATACAGGTAGATCCCCGTGTGGGCAGAGCGGTGTTCCCCGGTGCGACCAGGCGGTCACGGTGTTTCCCTTGCCGGGCCAGCACAGACTAACACTTATCTGAGCCGAGAAGAGTTGGGGCAACTCATGAGAAAACAGGGCGGACTGTGGACCCATGTCCTGGCCCCGCCAACACAGGCCGGGTTGAACCACCTGAGACAGCTCCCTGCTAACAAGAGCCAGGCTCCTTGTGCCTGGAGGGACAGGTCAGTCGGACTCTACTGCGCATGTGTGGCTGCAGGTCTCCCCCCCGCCCCTCCCCGCTCCCGCGCCAGCTCCGGGAGTCCTGGCATCCGCGCGGGGCGGAGGGCGAGGCGCGCCGCGGACACCCGCCCCCCACTCACCGAGGCACAGCTCGCACACGTAGGCGTAGTAGGACCAGAGCACCACGGCGGTGATGAGCAGCACCGGCACCCAGGCGAGTGCCCGCTGGCCCCAGCGCAGCCCCCGCGACAGCGCCACCGCCATGGCCGCGCGGGGCCCGGCCGCCTCGGGCATCCATTGAGCGGGGCTGGCAGGGGGGGGGGCGGGGGGGCCCGTGGGGGAGACGCTGCTGCGCATGCGTGGAGGGCTTCTGCCCATACCCGGGCAGCCCGTGCAAGCGGCAGGCGCGCTGGGCAGGGACCCGCACCGAGGGCGGAGGGGTGATCAGAGCACGAAGCCACCGCTGCCTGGGGAGGTGCAACAGCGCTGGGCGCTGCAGGAAGGAAAGCAGCCACGGTTTTGTGTCTAGAGACAAACAAAAGGTTCAGCAAGCACCAGTGCAAAATCCTGCGCTTAAAGCGCAACAATCCCCTGCACCCGTGCAGGCGGGGGGGCGACTGGGTGGGCAGCGGATCTGCACAAGGGGAGCTGCGGGTGACAGTGGACAATAAGCTGAATGTGAGCCAGCAGTGTGCCCTTGTTGCCAACAAGGCTAAAGGCATCTTGCGCAGCATTGGTAGCAGTGCTGCCAGCGGGTCAAGGGAAGGGATTATTCCCCTCTATTCAGCACTGGTGAGGCCACGTCTGCAGTACTGTGTCCAGTTCTGGCCCCCCACGATGGAACGGGTGTGGACAAATCGGAGAGGGTCCAATGCAGGGCAACACAAATGGTGTGGGGGCTGGGGGACATGACTTAGGAGGAAAGACTGAGGGAACTGGGCTGATTTAGTCTAGAAAGAAGAGACAGAGGGGATTTATTGGCAGCCTTCCACTACCTGAAGGGGCATTCAAAAGAGGATGGAGCTGGATTGTTCTCAGTGGGGACATGACAGAACAAGAAGCAATTGCCTCAAGTTGTAGCAAGGGAGGTTTAGGTTGGATATTAGGGAAAACTTTCTTGCTAGGAGGCTAGTAAAGCACTGGAACAGGTTACCTAGAGAGGTTGTGGACTCTCCATCCTTGGAGGTTTTTAAGACCCGGCTAGACAAAGCCTTGGCTGGGATGAACTAGTTGGGGCTGGTCCTGCTTTGAACAGGGTTTGGACTAGATGTGATATTTTCTATGATTCCAGAGTGAACAAAAAGTCTGGCAGCAGCTCAGAGTATCCATTAGTCACCCTGCACATTAGAAAATGGTTTGCCAACAACCTGTGGAGCTGCTGGGTCCTTTGCATAGTGTTTGACTTGGAAAAATCAGGCTTATTTGGACAGGTCTGTGGCTCAAGGTTTGGACTTGTAAGTCACTTCAAGACCCACCAGTGAGCATAGTGAGCATCCTCAAATCAAGGGATTAGTGCCAATGATAGTGAAAGTTATTCAACAGCAATAAAAAACCCCACAAAGAGAAATTATAGAAAAACATTCCACAGTGCCCTGCACTACTGCAGCAGTGTGCGAAGGATTAAGGTTATGATGTCGCATGACACAAAGGAGGCAGTAGGATTATAGCACAAAACCCTTAACCTTCAATGCCACTGCAAGGTTCCCTTTTTGACAATGACAGGAAAGAACCGAACAAGCTATAGAAACGGACCTGACTTTGTGTTCTGAAAAGTGGTTCCTTCTTGTGGTTCAGAGGGGTCGCTTCATGGGAAAGCTTGCACAGCTGCTGCCTCTGATCTCTCTGTTCTGGAGATGAATGTTGTACTTCATGTCCAGGGCTGGCAACCCACCACCTTTCACCAGCCTTAAATTCACAAATGAATAACATTTTAAAAATTAATAAATCGGAGAGAGATCTCTCTCTCTCTCTGAAATATTATAAAATCATTCATATCAACTGTTAAGAAACATTTAATAATTAATTGCAAATATGAGAGGCACTCCAGGTTCATTGTACATTAAAGCAAGAAGGCAAAGTGTCCACTAGATAGCACTCAAGCACTGTAGAAGTAAACAGCAGTTTTCCCATGGGACTAGATTAATAGCACCACTATTATTAAGGTTGAAACTAAATTGCTAACCGCAACAGCCGTTGCTTTCTAAATGTCCAAAAAGCCACATACTAATGTGGATTGTCTTGAAAAGTAGTGTGTTATGTGGGGGTCTCAGCAAGGGATACTGATCCAAACGTGAGGTCATTCATATAAGAGGCTCCCAAGATCCAGCTTCCCTAGAAATATAATGAGCTGTCAACTTTTGCAATTCTTAGATCTTTTTTATGCATATCTGGAGTTCAAACAATACCCTTCCACATACTAAATCACCCATAGGGACTGAAATTCAACCAGTGCTGAGCACCCACTGTCCTCTGAAGGATCAACATTTAACATGTTATTTGGGGCTAAGGTTGGCTCAACAATTTGTTTTGACCAGCCAAAAAGTGTCCTTTTGTATTACTGGCCTGTTTGCAAGTTGCCTCATACCACCTTAAGCAGGTGGTCTAAGGAGACTTTTTGTGGCTATTGAACTTGAGTAGCCACCATATAATATATCAGCAAGCACTGATGGCTGTGTAAAATTGACGCTATGTAAAACTGATGGAGACTTGTATATGCCATGAATAATACATATATTTTCTTAATTAATGTTTAAAATAATAGATAATTAGAAGTATTGAGATGATATAATCATTTGCAGGAGTTATCAGTATGTAAAACTATATATTTTGATTTCTCCTTTAATTATACATGTACATCTTGCAAGCCTTGATAAAGAGGTACTGTTACTCAGATAGGTTCCTATTTTTGAACCATGAACCTCTATGTTATTAAAATTTGTTATCCTGTCCCATGTCTGAAATTCTTGGTGAAGTTAACATTTGTTTTAATGAAACCCCAGCTTTATAAAGACCTGGGATTCCCCTTGAGATTTGATAATATTGGGATTTATCTGATTTTTCCAGCTCTCATCCTTGTTTAATCTGGAAGTTCAGAAGATTGGTAGGTCAGAGGATCAGTAAATAACATTAACACATGAGATTACAGCTAATGGGATATTTTCAAACTCTGTAAGGAAACTGGATTGTTGGTTTTGGCCAAACTTTCCTTTTCTTCCCCATTTTTCCATAATGTGTGAGACTCTGGGCAGGAAGGTGATATGGTCTGCAGGCAGATTATGTTCTTGTCTACCCTCCCAGTTGAAAGTATATGCCCAGCAGGGTCCACTGAATTGCAGAAGAAAATGCGTCTGTATAGATGGTGTTGGCACGAGAGCTTTGGTTTCTTCAACAATATGTTGGTATTATAGGAAAGAGGATGGTTTCCCAAATCTAACAAAGATTGGGAAAGACATCTTTGGACACTGTCTGGCTAACCTGGTGAAGAGGGCTTTCAACTAGGTCCTATGGGAGAATAAGAAAGATGATAAAGGTTGGAATATAAGTCACATGAGGAGAGGTTGAAGAAACTGAATATGTTTGGTTTGGAGAAAAGGAAATAGAGAGCCACAATATAGCAGTGTTCAGATATTTGAAAAGCTACAATAAACAAGAGGAGTAACACCTGTTCTTCCTTACCACAGACAGCAGACAGATTAAATCTTAGAAAAAGACTAATTTACTATTAAAGCAATGGGTCAATGGAACAAGCAACTTAGGCAAGTTGTAGAATCTCTTTCATTGGAAGTTTTCAAGAAGAGGCCAGATAGGCATTTATTTTTGATCAAGGAACCCTATGAATCTGTGATATGCATTCTTCCATAATATAAAAGTGACCCCCTACATTATCACACATTCAGACATACAGCATGAAGACAATGTCATGATGCTGCTTTGCAAGGCATACAATCAATTCTGTAAGAGATTATGTGCCAAATCCTTAGCAGCACAGTTCCACTGCAGTCAGTTGTTCTGCACTGATTTGTACCAAGGACACGGCTCAATGAGCATAGGGTAAACTTTAGGTTTGGGTAGTTAGTAAGGATACCACTAATTTTAAAAACAAATTAAAATAAATTAATTTTCCCCTGAAAGGGTTCACAATGCACTTTCCCTTACAATATAGCAGGGATAGGCAACCCCTGACACATGTGCCAATTAATGGCACATGGAGACATTTTCCTTGGCATGCCAGGAGGTATGCGAGGAAATTGTTTTAAAAAATAGTTTTTTTAAGTTGCTGGTTCAGGCTCTCCAGAGCAGCCACAGGTCCCAGCGCTGCAGCAGGCACCAGGGGCAGAGTCAGGAGAGTACAGGCAGGGACGCTGGTTGCGTTCTGCTGACTGTGCCCTCTAGCCCAGTCCATTCCCTGGAGAGGAGCTGTGGGTAGGTGAGGTGAGGGCCTGGGCAGGCACTGTGGAGGGCTGCTGGGAGCCCCCTGAGCCTGGTGTGCTGCCCCAGCCACACAGCATCCTCTCGTGGATATGGCGGTTGTGGCCCATCCCCACAGAGTTGGGGCAGGGCCCCACCTCAGATGCCACTGGGCGCCCCCACCTGCCCACCTTGGCCTGAGTCTGCGGAGCTCCAGGGCAGCCCCACCCAGCTCCCGCTCTCCTCCTGGTGCCACCTTCCCAAGGGCCCAGCTGGGCCAGCCCGCCCATGGTGCTGCCTGGACCCTGCCCCTACCCCAAGCACCTGGGCCCGGCACTCAGTACCCTGATGCTGCCCCACCCGGGTAGGACGGGGCATCTGTCTGCCCGAGCCCTGGCCAGGCCCTTCCTCCCAGTCCTGGGCCCGGGCTCCTCCTGCTCTGGGACTGTGCCCTGGCAGCTGCTGCTGGAGCATTGCTGCCTCCTTCCGCTGAACACTGCTCTGGACCAGCGGGCCTGAGCTGCAGCCAGTAGCAGTAGGAGACATGGGTGGCGAGGGACGCACCTCCTTTCTCTCTTTCCTTTTTTTCCTCTTTCTTTCTCTCTCCTCTTTTTCTTTCTTTCTTTTTTCTTCTTTTTCTTATCTTCCGTCTCCTTTTTTCTCTTTGCTTTTTTCTTTCTCTCCTCTTTGCTTTCTTTTTCTTGCTTTACCTCTTTCTGTTGCTTCTGTCTCTCTCCTCTCCTTTTTCTCTTTTTTCTTT